TCGCAATCTTTTCATAGAACCCCTATAACAAGATTTAATTAAAATATCATAATATGACATACAAAATAAAAAATTTCAATAAAATATCATAACAAAATGCGTAATCCACTTATAAAATTTGTCAAGCAACAAACAAAAGTAGAAACAAAACAAAAACATATTTATGAGAATTTATCCAAAGTATTATTAACAAAAAATGTTTCACAGCTTTTAAAAATTTATTTTTTTGTTAAAAACTTGAATGAACTTAACAAACTCACCGTACCTTTGAACCCTTTTTGAAAAATATTCCATTCTTTTGGATCTCGATATAAAATGCTGTATTCTGAATATTTATTTATTATCCTAGGCAGTTTATATGTGTTCAACATATTCACTCTAAGATTATAGTTATCATTTTTATTTAACTCATACTTATTATTAAAGCTTATAGGAGAGATATTGTGATTGTAACGATACATGAAAATTAAATGCTGGTAGATATTTATTTCAAATACATTCATCATTTTCATATCTTTCATCGAGGAATTAGCGTGTTCCCGCCTATTTTTAAAGTAAATGATTCTACAGGCATGTTTTTGAAAACTATATAGTTTCTTAAGCTTTGCTGTTTGAGTACTTGCCCATGAAATGTTTGCATAGCTGATGAGGCTGTGAATTAGATTAATTTAGATTAATTTAAAACTATTTGTATTGATGTACGAGCGAACTCGATACATTAAACCTATGATTTTAATAATTTTTGACTGGATATATATTATATGAGGAAGCCAGGATAATTTTTCATCAACAACGATTCCCAAGAATCTTATATTGGATTGCTTTTTAATTAATTTGTCATTTATAAATAGGTTCGGCAACTTGAGAGAAAGATTTTCTTCTTGTGTTTTTTTATGAAAAAGTATTTAGTTTGTTTTCTCTGCATTAAGTGAGTTTGTTAGCCTTAAACTAGTTATTTACTTTATTTAGTTCAATATTCATGTCCGCATATAATTTCTTGATATTGTTGTTGGTAAGAATTAAATTCGTGTCATCTGCAAACATGACTGAATTAAGTTTTAAGGATGCATTACAGAAGTCATTTATATATATTAAAAAAAGAAGTGAACCAAAAATCGATCCTTGCGGAACACCACATATGACATTTAACACTCCAGATTGGGCATTATTTACACATTGTTTTCTGTTTGTAAGATAGCTTTTAATCCAATAATAAGTTTTATAAATTATTTTGAAATGTCTTAATTTATCTAAGAGAATACAGTGGTCCACTGTATCAAATGCTTTTGATAAATCAAAAAATACTCCTAAAGTAAATTTATTATTTACAAAACCATTAGTTATTTGATTTACTATTTCAATGATTGCATGCTCAGTAGAGAGATTTTTTTGAAAACCAAACTGATTTGGGTAAAAAAAATTGTTTTTAATGAAGTAATCATAGATTCTATTATTAACTACACGTTCGAATAGTTTTGAAAATAAAGAAAGTACTGATATAGGCCTGTAGTTTGTAATGTCAGAATGATCACTACATTTGTACAACGGAGTTACTTTTGCTAATTTAAGTACATCCGGAAATATCCCAGAATTTAACGAAAGCTTTAGTATATGTATTAGAGGTCTTTTAAGACTTTGTCTGTTTGCAATAACTATATTACTAGATATCTCATCAAATCCTGAAGCCTTATTTTTTTTAACGAGTAAAAAGCTGCCTCATATTCCTCATAGGTTAATTCATAATCAAGCATGATAACATTAATCGTTGGTTTAAGGAAGGTTTTAAATGATACAGATGTTGGTACTATTTTTTTTACAAGATTTGGACCAATACTTGTAAAATATTTATTGAATTTTTCTAAAATTTGTTTTTGACTAAATATATCGTTGTTTTCAATAACAATTCGTTTAGGTAGAGAAGGTGAATTTAGTTTTTCTCTTCCCATTATGACATTGATGTATATATATATATATATATATATATATATATATATATATATATATATATATATATATATATATATATATATATATATATATATATATATAATTATATAAATTGTAATCTAATTTAGAGAAAATGGTAATTTTTTTTTGAAAAAACAAATCACATTTCAGCGAGTAACATCTAATTTTTAAATTACTTTGTTCTCAGGTTCTAATCAGGGCAAAAAATTATTTAAAGATATAAGTACGGACTTTTAAGTACGGACAGAAGTTTGTAGTTTAGACCTTAAAAGTTACTTAACTTAAATATCAAAAATCATGGGTCCCCTCTAACATCTGGAAGTTTTTCTATTTAAGATAACGAAAAACACCTATGTTTACAAATAATAAAAAGATATGAAAACAACATTTGTATAGTATATATCCTTAGTATCCTTAAATAAATACTTACCATCTCCTATCACAAAATTGTTCACAGAAAGAAGACTATTTCATTCCTACTCTACTAGAAATATACATAATGGAAAACTAAATGTACCTTTTTTTAAAACCCAGAAGTATGTTAAAAATTCCATAGCTTATCAGTACGTCTGTGAATGGAACAGAAGCTTTGCAAGCATTTTGAATGAGTTCAAAAAACTATATCTTAAAATACCTCTACTCCATCTTAAGCAATATCAATTTAAAAAAATCCTGAAAAAATTTTATTCTAACTTTTAGACGTTATATCCTTACGATTAAAATAATCTTTTAATTTTTGTTTCGTCATTACTACAATTATCATAAGTACTTTTTGTTTATTTTTTTCTTATTATAACCTGCTAATTATGATTTCATCATGTTTGATTTAATGTTTGTTCTATGTGCTTGAATCTATGTGTTTACGGTCCATATGTTTGTTCTATGTGCTTGAATCTATGTGTTTACGGTCCATATGTTTGTTCTATGTGCTTGAATCTATGTGTTTACGGTCCATATGTTTGTTCTATGTGCTTGAATCTATGTGTTTACGGTCCATATGTTTGTTCAATGTGCTTGAATCTGTGTGTTTACGGTCCATATGTGCTTGAATCTATGTGTTTACGGTCCATATCTTTCAATGCATGTTTTTGCTCATCATCCTTCATATCATGTTTAAAAATTGGCGTTACTCCTTTGATCAGATTTCTGTATGAGTGACACCATCCTAAATAAGTCATTAACTTATTATTATAAATAATTTTATGCTCATAAATACTTTTATTATATTAGTTATTATTATTTTTTCATTGTAATTATTGTAAACATACTTATTATTATTATTACTACTATAATTTGTATTAACTTTTTTTTATCTTATATTATTATAATATATTATTATATTAGTTATTATTATTTTTTCATTGTAATTATTGTAAACATACTTATTATTATTATTACAAAAATTTGTATTAACTTATTTTTTATCTTATATTATTATAATATATTATTATTACTATTATTCTTATTATCATTATTACTATTATTAAATCTATTGTAAAAACGATTAACGGAAAATAAATAGCTTGTTTGTTAGTTTTGTTTGTTATATATACTTTAATTTTTTTTAATTTTTTATTTTCTTAGAGAAATTACGACGATATTAACGAATAAAAAAGCCTAACAATTATATATTTTTATTGTAAACATTTTTTTTTTAATTTCATCATGTTTAGCCCTGTATCTAAATGTTTTTTCAACTCACACAGTTTTTCAAAAGAATGCTTGGGAACATCTTTTTTATAGTATGTGTGTTTTATAACCAGTTATCAACAAAAATTTTCTCAAGATAACGTGTTTTTTTGACGTTTGTATATAATTAAACAAGGGTTGCAGCATTTTCTTTCTGTAACATTTTTTAGAAACGCGTTGATTTTGAACAGCAGCATTTAAAGCTATCCCATCATAACCAATGACATCATTATTATCATAAGTAAATACTTCAGGATACTTTAATGGTTTTTTTTTTACAAAATTTTTTTTTCAGTAGATTCCTATGAAACTTATTCTTTATTTTCAATTTTTGTTGCGAGTAATTGAGGATTAAAATTGGTAATAAGATCATTGAGCTTTTTTTCTTCTTGTTTTCCAAAAATGTTTTTTAACAGCATTAAATGAATCATTAAAAAGATTTAAAGTAAAGATTAAAAGCATATTTTAGTAAAAAATAGTAGTAACATTGAAAACCGGCAGCTAATTTTTATTGCCATTTATATAATGAATAATATTATAACTCGCAGCTATCTACTATCTACTACCGATGAAAAGATCTAACACCGATGAAAAGATCTAACACGATGAAAAGATCTAATACCAATAAAAAGAATCAATACTAATTAAAAGATCTAATGCTGATAATAATAATAATAATTTTGCAGCCTAAATGCGAAAATATGACCAATTTTCATGACAACTTTAGTAAATAAAAATCACAACTTATTTTAAAATGAAAGGTAAGCTCAAAATGGGAGTTGAGTGTCAATGTATTTAGTTTAACCGTGTACTTTATAAATTGAGTTTATATACTTTGCTAAAGTATATACATAAAATTTACACCATTATACTAATGTTTCAATAACTGTTTATTTTTTATATGGGATGACTTCTTTTTTTTTTTAACTTTAATTATGTCAATATCTTTAATTCCCATAGAGTTATCCGAAGAAATTTTAGAGTTATCCGAAGAAACAGTTATCCGAAGAAATTTAAGAGTTATCCGAAGAAATTTGCAGAAAGGGAACAAAAAAATGGTTCGACTTAGGTGGAGAACTTTAATAGTAATTGGTTTCAAGGCATCAAATAAAACAGTTCCAGATAAAAGTTTAAGTTAACCGGTGTTTGATTAACCGGGAATTTTTTTTTTTTTTTTTTTTAATATTTTAGTTTACATTTGTTAGTTCGTTTTTACAATATAATGAGTAATTAAAAAATTAATACAAATTATAAACAACAACAACAACAACAACAACAACAACAACAACAACAACAACAACAACAACAACAACAACAACAACAACAACAAGATATTTATTTTCCTATAATAATATCTGTAATAATACAAACAATATAGTTATAATAAAATATAACTAATAAGAATAAATATAAATAATTATTAGAAAAGGAAGGTGTCACTCAAACAGAAGCCTGATCAAAGGAGTGACACCAAATAACTATAACAATAATAATTAAAAATAATAATATTATCTATAATAATACAAATAATATGATGACATGAGTGTCACTCATGATCAAAATAAGTGACACAAATTAATTATAACAAGTAGTATAATAACAAAATGATAATAAAAATAACAAATATGAACAGAAAATCGCTAAGAAAATAAATAAAATAATAATAACAACGATAAAGCTAAAATAAGTTAAATAATAAGACAAAAAATATGAAAACACTCAATAACAACAGTATACAAAAATAAAAATAATTAGCAAAACAGAACAAATAAAAAACAAACTATACACAAACGAAAAGGCAAAATACAAAAACTACAAGATGAAACCAAAATGAAAAGGGAATCACAAATACTTCTACAAAATAAAATTAAATTCGTTACAAATTTAAATATTACAAATTAAATCGTTAAAAAATAAGTATAAAACAATCTTCTTATTCTCAATCTTCTTATTCTCAATCTTCTTATTCTCAATCTTCTTATTCTTCGTTTGTAAATTTCTTTACTTTTCCTTTTTTTGTTTCTTTTTATTTGTTAACTTTTTTCTTTCTTTTTATTTATTTATTTTTTTTTTTTATGTTATTTTATTGTTTTACGTAAACGTTCTTTTTTTTTTAGTTCGAAATTCTGTTTATCTTTTTGTAAGTTTTTTCTCTTGATTTAAACTTGTTTGTTTAATTTTTAAATTTAAGTTTGTTTTAAATTAATTCATAAGAGCTTTATTATGATTTATTGGTCACTTTTTTAAAAACAAAATTTATCTTTTGATTTGAGTTTAACTTTATTTTTTATCTTTACTGTAGCTTTTTTAACGGTTAAAAAAACGCGACCGCCATTTGCGAAGACCTTGCGAAGAATGTCGTATAATAAACTAAGAAAATAAACTAAGAAAATAAACTAAGAAAATAAACTAAGAAAATAAAATAAGAAAATACTACTAAAATACTACTACTAAATAGTACTAAAATAAACTAAATAAACTAATAAAATAAATACTACTAAAATAAACTAAGAAAATACTACTAACATTTGAAAAACTAGGTATCTGAAAGAAGATCAGTAAGATCGTCACAACCTTATACTAGTTTAAACAACATATTAGGTTATAAAGTAACTATAACAACAACAAAATAAAAATAAAATATACATACATATATCACTTTGTAGTATAGATAATAAAGTTTAAAAAATATTTCCATAATATAAATATTATTGTCAAATTCTGATAACACGGGAGAGAAAAAGATTTTTCAGCTTATCTTTAAAAAAATGCAAAGAAGGAGATAGATCAAAATTAAAATTAGACAAAACAATTTTGTTCCAGAGATGGGGTGCACGATAATCAATGCAAATTTGGTTAAAACTTGTTCGACAAAAAGGCTCACATAGAAGGTTGCTTTTTCTTAGAGAGTATTTATTTATAGGTTTCAAAGTAATTAAATCATTAAAAACGGCACGAGAAAGATTGTTTTTACATAATATATACAAAGCATAAAATACTAAAAATATTAAGTTCGTAAATATTAAGTATTCTCATTTCATAAAAAAGATGTTTAGAGTGAGAAAAACAATCAGCAAAATTAATTACACGTATTGCATGTTTCTAACGGCGATAGACAGACTGTAACTTACTTTTTTCAGTGCTTGCTTAAGCAATATTTGCATAATTCATATAGCTATGAATGAATGCATAATAAAGTTGGGATAAAGTTTTTTTGTTTATATAGATTCTGGCCTTATAAAGAATTCCAATATTTTTTGAAACATTTGTACCAACATAATCAATATGTTGCTTCCATGTGATGTTTTCATCAAGGAATACGCCTAAAAATTTTGTAATACAATCTCTTTTTATTTCAATTTGGTCAATAAAAATATCAGGTAGAGTTGGGGGTAAATAACGTTTTTTAGTTATCGAATGAAAAAGAATCCATTTTGTTTTTTTAATATTTAGGGTAAGTTTATTGCATTTGAACCAGCTAGAAATTATTTTGAGTTATTCATTCATAGTAGTAAAGAGTTTATTAATATTGTTATCAGATAAAAATAAATTAGTATCATCCGCAAACATAATACTTAAAAGATTAGAAGCTTTATGCAAATCATTAATGTATATTAAAAAAAGAAGTGGCCTCAAAATTGATTCTTGCGGAACACCACATAAAATATCTAAAATATTTTTTGATAAAGATAGTTACAAGAAACAAATTGTTTTCAGTGTGTTAAATAACTTTTAAACCATTTCAAAATTACACCATCCACTCCATAATATTCAAGTTTATGAGTAGTAAGAGATTGCCGGTTAATAGAATATTTTTATTTTCAACCTTATTTTCAACCATAAATTAATATTAATATAGGGTTCAATGTTAACCATATTGTATATAATTTATTTAGATAAGAAATAATTTTTTATTTTAAAAAAAATTGATTTTTTAAAATAAGTGTTAATTTTTATTTCTTGTTATGAAATATTACGAAAAATTCTTGCATGACGTCACAGGTCACGTGACTTTTTCTAATAATAAATATTATCTGGTGTTTTTAACTTTTCTTCTTCTAATCTTTCCTTTTCTAACTTTTCATATTGTAATTTAATTTTATTTTGCAAATAACGAGCTAATCTTAATCTTCTTTTATAACTTCCTAATTTAATATCTTTACTTGTACAATCCATTTTTTTAATTTATGTAAAGAAATATATTTTCAATTTTTTTTCTTGCTTCTTATTTATACCCTAATTCATGTAAATAATTAATAATTTCAAAATTTCCACTTTTAGCAGCAAAATCAATTGCAACATGAAAGCAATCATACCCTAATTCATATAAATATTTTACAACTTCAAGGTGACCATTTTCTGCAGCATAATAAATTGCCCATTCAGTACCTTTATACCCTAATTCATGTAAATATTTTACTACTTCAAGGTGACCATTCATTGCAGCGCAATTAATTGCAGATTCATCACATTTATACCCTAATTCATGTAAATATTTAACTATTTCAAGGTGACCCTTTATTGCAGCGTATTCAATTGCTTTTTCTGTTCCTTTATATCCTATAGAATGTAAATATTTTACTACTTCAAGGTCATCATTTCCTGCAGCATAATTAATTGTCCATTCAGAACCTTTATACCCTAATTCATGTAAATATTTTATTACTTCAAGGTGACCATTTCCTGCAGCATAATTAATTGCCCATTCTGTACCTTTATATCCTTTAGAATGTAAATATTTTATTACTTCAAGGCGACCATTTTGAGCAGCATAATCAAGTTTTGTACGTTTATTTTCTTGATTCATTCTTTTTATATACACAAGAAAATTATTTAACTCATTTTCAATTTTTTTATTTTTTTTAATGCGCATGCGTTATTTTTTATGCATAGTAGAAGCATTGTCCTATCAGTGCAGCATAGCTCCCAGATTGTCCAACTTGTGCATCACCAGAGTTGAGTGTCACTACCATTCTTCTACCTATACCAACGCTAGGCATACTTTCAGATGAATTAAAGTTTCTATAAAATGAAATTGTAGTTGATGGACCAATTGTACTAGTTGATTGATTCAACAATCCTGATACTTCATTATTAAATGAGCTTACATTAGATCCATTCCATGAAGAGAGATAAAAATCTTCTAAACCTGATGAAGCGTAGATACATCGACTGTTAACATCATATCCAGAAAATGTAGTATATCCATTATTATTATAAGGTGTCCAAGGTTGAATGACAGAGTTAGTATTGGTAGGAGCACCATATCCATCATAGATGCGAACTCTAGATTCCCACCAGTCTCCAGATCCTCCAACAACATGCATTCTTATGTATTTCAAATACACTCCGTTTCCATTATCCATAACATTCATTAGCATATATTCACTACCATAAGTTGTATTTACATATCTAAATGTTGATGAGTACAACTTAATGGATGAGATAGATCGAGGTATTAGAGGATTAATACTAGTTAATGCTTGTTGAAACGATGAAGTTCTTGTGATAAAAGGTTGTAACCAAAAGGTCACTGAATTTCCTGTTTTATTGTATAATTGTATATTCAAACTTGATGTAAAAGGAAGATCAAATGTAAAATATCCTCCTAATGCACTTGTACTAAATACATTACATCCTTGTAAAGAGTTTGCATAATAGGATCCACCAAGTGGTGCAATTAATAAATCACAAGCTAAAGCTGTATTATTAACACCTACACCATCTGTTACAATAGAATCATTACCTATGCAAAGTACATTGTCAGCATATATTTTTAAAAACAAGCTACCTGGTACAGTATTAGATGCAATAGTAGATCCTGTAAATGCAATCCACAGTTTTTTTAGAATTCCTGAACTACCACTATAGCTAAAAATGGTATATGATCCTGGAGTTGCATAGAATGCTTGAGATTTTTGTCCAAAGCATATTAAACTTGTATTGGGAATGATATCTAAACTTTGATTTTGCATATCATCAACGTAGCTCTTTGTAACTGCATCTTGTGCATCAGTAGGATTAGCTACATTGATAAGTTTATTTGTATTTAAATTTATATTAGCAGTTGCAGGATTATAACCATCAGTTCTTAGATATAAATTACTAGAAGTTTGATTATTATCTACATAATGCTTTGTAGCTGCATCTTGTGCATTAGTAGGATTAGCTACGTTGATCAATTTATGTGAATTCAAATTTATATTAGCACTCATACTATTAGTTCCATCTATTTTTAGATAGGAACTGCTAGAAATCTGATTATTATCTACATAATACTTTGTAGCTGCATCTTGTGCATCTGTAGGATCAGCTACATTGATTAATTTATGTGAATTTAAATCAACATCAGTAGTGGCTGTATTGCCAACATTAATGTTGATATTTAATCCATCTGTTGTGTAACCATATAATGAATTACTACCTGCTATATTCATACTCATTTTAAATATGCTATATTTTTTTAATTCAGTATAATGAGTTTTCAATACTTTGAAAATCAACACCTTCATCAAGCTTTTTTAATACATAAAGGCACAAGTGTCCGCAAAAAGAAGTGTCTCCAAACTGAATTCTTTTACTATTATAATAAACAGGACTGTGTAAATATTGAACAAGTTCAACTGGAGGTGGTAGTGCATAAGAATCAAAACTTAATTTCTCATCTCCATCTTTATACCAACAAATCCAATGAAATCCATTCGTACTTGAATCTCCAGTATTTAATATTCCACATTCTTTGTTTTGTGTATTTTTAGGTAATTCATCTCTTACAAATACACCTCTAAAGTTTTTAATTTTTAATTTTTTTGCTGCTTTTATTAATTGAAAGTTTGTTAAGGGTACATTTGGCAATATAATTTCTTCAACATTGATATGTTTGTCCATTTTTATTACTTCGTTAGATTTTTTTAGATCTTTTTAAGATATAAAAAATAACTTACCTGTGTGTTTGCCTGCCTGCTTGCCTGTTTATTTCCAATCAATTTGAAATGAAAAGTTAAGCTTGTCAATTCTATCACTTTCATTCCAATCAATCTGAAATGAAAAGTTGGGTTTGGGTTCTGAAGGAACCAATGTTTTATTCTCTTTTAATTTATAATGTCCATATGCTAATGTGTGAATACCATCTTCTTGAATTACTCTTTTATCATCTTCTGCACTCAATGCTATTTTGTTTATTTCTTCAGTATAAACATCATGTAAATGAGATCTTATGACATTCATTTTTCTCATTTGATTTCTCCTGCTAAGAAGGCAGTCTTTATAATCTTCATGTGTAATATAATTTTTTACTACATTTCTCTTTACTCCTTTACATCTCTTTTTATCTTCTTCATCTATTTTGTAAGAATACAACTTTGATCTGAGTCCAATAAATTCCGTAATTTGTTTTCCTGCTGACTCATCTTTAAACATTCCTATTACTTTCTTATTTACACCAACTTTAAATCCATTTTGAACAGCTGGATGATCTTTATTAAATTCACTTGTATCAAATTTACTTTCAATATCATTAGAAATTTCTTTATAAAAATCTTCTGTTTTTATTTCATAGATTAATGAATCTGTATCTGTATATAATAGTTTAGCTTTATCTCCATATTTATTTTTTATGTAATCATAATGAAATTCGTACATTAGTGTTTTGCTCAAATCTAAAATACACATACCCAAGTAAACAGGCTTATTATATTTTAGTTTTGTTCTTTTCATATGTATTGCAATTAAATTATCATCAAATATTGTTCTACTTTCATAATTTGGTTTTGATGATAATTTAATAGCTTCTTCTCTTTTTGTAACTAATCTTACATCAACTCTGTTTTCAATGTTCTCCATTGTCTTTCCAAATACTGAATTGTTCATAAGTTTGAAAAAGTCTTTTTCAAAGTCATTTGTTGCTTTTGTTCTTAGATCTGTATTGAGTTCGATGTATTTACTTAACCATGCACTTTCTTCAAACTTTATTCCTCTATGAATTTTAGTAATCTTTAATCCTAACCTTTCATAAAGTTTAAGATTTTCATAGTGTATGATATAATTTTTCTTATGATTTAAATTAGGTATTAATTTATCAACTTTGTCTATTTTTAATCTTTCAGGAGCAAGTGGATAATCATTATGCAAATATAAATGTAAATATTCAGGATATTCTAAATCTACTTCTAATATGCAAGAAGTAGATTTCCAATTTTTTAATTCTTCATCATTCATCCATTTAAATCCATGTGTTGGAAGGGGTTTGCTCATAGCCCATCCATATAAATTATTTGCATCTAGATACTGTATGTAAGTAGATTCTTTACTTTCATCATAATTTTCCATATATTTATTGTTAGCAGTTCCTAACCTGTTAGAAACCATACTAATTCCACCTCTTATTCCTTCCTTTATCATTAAGATCATATCATAATCACTTAATAATTCTAATTTTACTTCTGTTATTTTCAACGCAGCATCCCAAGCTAATCCTGGTGCTGTATAGTACCAAGCGGGATCTAATTTGTAATTGTTAAAACAGACATCTCTAAAATTTTCAAAGACATCAGCTAGTAGTAATACATCAGATTCGTTATATAAATTGTGGTAATCTCTAAATGTTTCACAATTAAACTCTTTCCATACATTTTGAGCATGTAAATAATCTTCATCACTTATTCCTTCATCATTTAATTTTGAATAAAATGATTCTTTTAGTGGTAATTGTGTTTCATTTAATTTATCAATAGAGTCAACCCATTCATAAGGATAAACACCTTTTCTTAACAATAAATTGAGTTCATTTCCAGAATAGTATCTACTAATATTTTTACATTGATCTTTTGACAAATTTTTAGTTAAACTATCTAAACTAGCAGCCATAAATTTAAAACTATCTAGAAAACGTAGATACAGTTTAACTTCAACTTTTTTACCTTCTCTATTAGTAAATTCATTTACTTTAAGTTCTTTAGAAAAGCTAATATATTTTTCTTCATTGTTGGGTATACAATTTATTTTTCCTCCTTCTGACAATTTCTTTATGAACAAGTGAGAGTCATAACCAGATAAATTGTGAAATAGTACTGGAATGAATTTTGGATTTTTAAATTGTAAATTACACTCATTATGTGCAGCACCTCTATATTTTCCAGTAATATGACAATGATCTTTTACTTTATCTTCATTAAGATCTTTTTCACAAATGTGACATATTTTTGCATTGTTAAATTCTTCTTTGTCTTTACAAGTAAATATTATATCTTTTGGAAACTTTAAGTACTTGTTATATATCTTTTTTACATCTTCTTCTAGCATATTAACAAATTTTTGTGCTACATCTTCATCTTCATTACTTGCAGTGAATGTAACTAGTTTACTTTGATATACACTTTCATCAAAGCATTTAATATAGTAACAAAATGAACTAGGTGTATGCTTTTGGTACTGCTTTGTATAAGATTCATTTGGATTAGGTGTACAAGTGTTGATTGGTTTAATAAAACTTTCAAAGTCTGCATAGACTACAAATGGCACTCTCATAGATTTTTTAAAATGATTAAGTTTAATCATTGTATTTGGTTTTGGAAGTTCAATTCGTACTGAATCATGAGTATCACAATACAATTTATGATTTGACAAAGATTCTTCAGTACAAAATCCTAACAAGCAATTTCTACAAAAAAACATTTTATGTTCATTTTTAGATATTTGTGATGAAAGTAATCTACTTAAACTTTTTATTAAACAATAGTGATTGGTTTCATCATTTGAAATGAGTAATAAATCTATTTGATGTTGTCTTTTTTTGTTTTCAGATATTCT